TATAAATACTGTGCTATTTTTGCGTTTATTAAAATAGTTAAAATACTAAAATAGTAGTTATTTTTTAATTTTATTTATTGACGATTGTGTGCATGTGCAGGTGGTCAAAATTTTTCCGAAAATTTGTGTGGTTTTCCGTAGTCTGATCTTTCAATTATTTAATTTTATATGGTATATGGTTTGGTTTGGTGAACTTACAATTAATTTTAAAAATACATATTTGTATTTTAGATGTTTTAATAATATTATTAGTTGGAACTTAATAATCATATTTAAGTAATGTGGTTAAGTAAATGGTTATCGAACTCAAACTATGGGGTGAGAAAATTAAAATGAAAGTTTTACACGTGCCAATTTTAAAAAAAAGTTAACGATGTTTGTATTTTGTTTATGCTAATTCTCTTACATGTAGTTTTTTGCGAAGAAATATTTCATTTATTTTTTAAAGTAAATGCCAGTAAAAGTAAATATAATTTTTAAATAGTAATATAAAGCACCTATTATAAATAATTTTGATTTCTAATTTTTTATTTATATTTTCCTTCCATTACACTGCATGCTTAGAAAATTAATAAATGTTTATATTTCACGATTTTAAAATTTGTTGTTAATATAACAAATTAGTTCTGTAATTATTATTATTTAATAAACCAACGTTGCCACACACAAAAAATTTAGAGACTATATTATTTTTAAATAGGATCTAATATAAATAATTTTGACATCTAATTTGTTGTTTATATTTTGCTACTACTTATAAAAAATATTTATATTAAATGATTTTAAATTTTGTTGTTAATAGGTATAACAAATTATTACTGTTATTATTATTTATTAAACCAGTTTTTGCTTAAAAACATTAAAAATAATTTTCCTACATCCAAAATAACAAGTATTATTGCAGTGTAACAACAGAATATTAATAAAAAAATGCAGAATATATAGACATACTATCCCTAACTAACAGAAGCGAAACAATAATATTCTTTGCTAATATCAACTAATACCAAAATATGGCAACAGCGCCCTTCATAATGTATTTTCTGTGTAAATACTAGCACCTCAATAAAAAAAATAATGTGTCCTTATTTGGTCCTTATCTATATCTGACTCCGCAATAAATCAAAGATGCCGGCTTCTTTCATAGCATTAACACCGACCGCTGTCGGGCTTCTCGGAAAGAAACCTACGTCGCCGGGCGACAACTAAAATTCAGTTAATATTTTATTATAATCGATCCTGACGAATAAATGAATTTCATAAATGAATGAATTTTATAAATGAATGGTTTTTGCTGCCGAATTACTAGAATACAATATTTCAAGGCAGATGATGGATCTATTCGATAATTTTTATTCGAATAGTTTTCAACGAATGTTTTCTAACTATCGAATTATTCGAATGAATTGCAACTATCGAATGTTTCGATAGTATTCATTCGATACTTCCCACTACTAGTTCATACTGTCATTGAGGCTGCATATATCATAATGCGTTATGCTTTACCATTCTGTTTTAAGAACTAAGCGAAGTTCATTTAATGAAGCTAGTACCGCTTCGCGACCTCTAACCATCCTGCCAAGCATTTCCCAAATGTCAAACATGATGGGCAGAGTTCATAGTAGTATATAGTTCACAATAATCACCAAAGCTGCCTTGTTATATTGAAAAAAAAATCAAAAAGAAATTATAATTAAGTTCATTTCGCTCTTAATGCAGCTACAGACGTTCATGCATACTTGACAAGTGTACTTGTACAAGCGTACTTGTACAAGTTTGCATTGACTCCACACAATACAAGCGCACTTGAATAGTTTTAGTAGGTAAAAATGGACGAAGAAGACGCGCTAGCTCTTGCGATGTTCGTTATTCTGCTTAAACAAAAAGAAAAAAATAAAACCCGTCGATTTTGGTGCAAAACTGCCTTCTAAAAAGGAATATTTGTATTTTAATAAAGCACGCTTTTAGATGTTTCAAAAAAATTTTAATAAGAGTAACTTTAACTCTACATATATGTTTCGGCTTGTTAGGCCTTTTTCAAGAGTTTTTTAAGAACTAATCGTCTAACTACACTGTAACTATATATATATTTACTGAGTGGGTTCAGAGAGTTTATAATAGGGGTAATAAAAAATGTGTTTAGAAATCCTTGTTGGTCGTTAACATTATTTTCGTTTTTAACAGATTTTAGTATTTCAACTGTTCAATGTAATTTAAGCGTCTACCTTTTGTTTCTCTGTGTGTGTAACTTAATTGAGTTTTCATTAATTTTGTGATTATTTACTATACAATGAGTTGCAAGACTAGAACTATGCTGGAGATTATTACAGACTTTACATGTTCTTTAATCCTTATATCTAAATTTCTACCTGTTTGGCCTATGTACACGGCATCACAATCATTGCAATCCACCCTATATATACCCGACTTATTTTTGACATTAGTTTTGTCTTTATTATTTAATAAAATTTGACCTAAATTCTTTATTTACGTTAATAGTTTTACATCCTATTTTATTGAGATTATTTGATATTGTTGTTAAATTAGAATGTAGTTTAAAGTCGATATTGTTATTGTCTTTAGAATTAGCGGAATAAAATTTTCATTAATATTTTTCTTTTGTTTTCTTTACATTTTATCAATAAGGAACACTTCTTAACCATTGTTGATATGAATTGTTTAATAATATTTAACTTTTAGTGGTGACATTTTGATTTTTGCCAGGATTGGTGTGATTGACTATATGTATTAGTGTGTCTGTGGTAGTGGGTTTTCTGTAAATATTTACATCTATTAGACTTTTATATAATTGTAACATCAAGAAATTGATGGTATTATACCTTTTCAATAGTAATTTGGTTCTGGTTAATTGAATTTAATAATGTTAAAAAACTGTTTAAATTTCTCTCGGTGCCTGACCAAATACAAAAAATGTCATCTACATATCTTGCCCAATAATTAAATACAAAAGACATTTTTTGTATTTGGTCAGGCACCGAGAGAAATTTAAACAGTTTTTTAACATTATTAAATTCAATTAACCCGAGAATACAATTTACTATTGAAAAAGGTATTAATACCATCAATTTTCTTGATGTTACAATTATAAAACAGTCTAATAGATTACAATTTGATATTTACAGAAAACCCACTACCACAGACACTGTAATACATAGTCAATCACACCAATCCTGGCAAATCAAAATGTCACCCTTTCATAGTTTATTCATAGATTAGTAATGTTTCCACTGAGCCCAGAGAATTTTAAAAAGAGTTAAATATTATTAAACAAATCGCCATCAACAATGGATATAAGTGTTCCCTTATTGATAATATGCTAAAGAAAAAACAAAGAAAATATTAATGAAAATTTTTATTCCGCTAATTCTAAAGACAATAACAATTATCGACTTTTAAACTACATTCCTAATTTAACTAACAAAATATCAAATAATCTCAATAAAATAGGATGTAAAACTATTAACGTAAATAAAAGAAATTTAGGTCAAATTTTATTAAATAATAAAGACAAAACTAATGTCAAAAAATAAGTCGGGTGTATATAGGGTGGATTGCAATGATTGTGATGCCGTGTACATAGGCCAAACAGGTAGAAATTTAGATATAAGGATTAAAGAACATGTAAAGTCTATTAATAATCTCCAGCATAGTTCTGGTCTTGCAACTCATTGTATAGTAAATAATCACAAAATTAATGAAAACTCAATTAAGTTACTACACAGAGAAACAAAAGGTAGACGCTTAAATTACATTGAACAGTTAGAAATACTAAAATCTGTTAAAAACGAAAATAATGTTAATGACCAACAAGGATTTCTAAACACATTTTTTATTACCCCTATTGTAAACTCTCTGAACCCACCCCCATAGCAAATATATATATATAGTTACAGTGTAGTTAGATGATTAGTTCTTAAAAAACTCTTGAAAAAGGCCTAACAAGCCGAAACATATGTGTAGAGTTAAAGTTACTCTTATTAAAAGTTTTTTGAAACATCCAAAAGCGTGCTTTATTAAAATACTAATATTTCAACGATGTTTCACAAGGAACCAACCACAGCTTCAGTACAATTTAATAGGAATATTTATTCGCATACTAATATTTTAAATGAAGTGAAGTTTTACCCTGCTAAATATTTGTTCTTAAACTATTTATATTTTTTACAATCGAATCGCAGTTTACAATTTTGTAATTAAACTTTTATGTGCAGCCTCTCTTTTGTTTTTATTATGATATAGTCCTTTGACTTTACTTGCCATAAACAAAGAGATTCTCTATAAATACTAATGAACTCCACTAATACCTCGCGCATACTTTTTTCATGTTCACTAGCCATTTTTATCTATCTTCTGGTAACAAACAAATAAGAAACAAGCAATAAACCTACTAGAATCAACTTCAGGCTTACGCAAGTTTGATACACACGTTCATGCATACTTGCGCGAGTCACTGGGGCATGAAGAAAATTCGTACAAGTCTATGCCACTTGCACAAGTCGAAATACTTGTACAAGTTTGTTCCTACACACGTTCAAAATTCGTATACAAGTACGCTTGCACAAGTACATTTGTCAAGTATGCATGAACGTCTGTAACCGCCTTTAAAAATTAACCAAGGCATGTATTGACATTGACATGATCCAAAAAAACAAAATGCTCAGGGGACATGGTTCTGACCGTAAAATTATATTTTAAGAAAATTTACACGCGAAATTATTGTACAGGGTGTGTCAAAGTTAAGGTAAAAAAACAACTGCCCGATTCACCCTGTATAATATCCCAAATAATAAAGTTTATAAAGAATTATTTGAAAGTTCACGAATTAAAGTTGATATAATTATATACAGGTTGCTAAAAAATAATGAAAATAGGTCTAAAAATAACAAAAATATAACACTTTAAATTTGACTAAAATTTTCTCCGTTGTGTTTTTTGATTATAAATCCACATACTTACGATTATTTATTTTTATTTTACAGAGCTGGCACGGCATCCAGACAATCCCAGAGGGAGCCACCGATTGGATACCCCGTGATCCTTACACAAACCGACCAATCAAACGACGTAGACTGAGAAAACGAAAAAGGCGACCTCCGGTAGTAACATTCCTAGACGATTCCAAAGAACAAATCCTCCAACCTGCCACAGACAACCTGGACCAAGCTGGCAACATTAGGATACCTTTACTGATAGAAGAAAAAATTCAGAGTAGATTACCAGAGTTGAAAGACCATCTGACACCTCCAGAAGAAGAGGTTTATTTGGATGAAGGCCAGCAACAGGACAGAGTTACGTTGATGGATGACAAATTCGTTGAAGAAGCTGATAGGTTTACTTTACCTAAGAAACGGAAAAGGCCTAACATTAATGGAGAATGGGATGAACATGATGAAGTTGAATATTCAAAAAGAAAAAAAGTAAGTAATCTAGAGAAAAATGATATATACCGGGTGTGTCTCAAAAGTGGCTCACCCCTATAACTTTTTTATTTTTACAGTTTACACAACCAGATTTGGTATGTTAGTATATGACATAAATTAGGATTAATTGACGTATTCAATTGTTTTCGGTCACTTCCTGTTTCACCGGAAATGACTACAACTTTTGATTTTTAAATGGCACCCTCGGTATATTTCTATTTTATTTGATTAATAATGACACTCTGAATAAAATGACATATCATATGTCAATTTTTAACGTTTTCACATATGGTTAATTTGAACTAATAACGTGCGGTTCATAACTAAAATTTGACTCGAAATACCAAGTGTGTGGTATCAAATTATCCATAAAAAAATGCTTTTTCCAAATATACTAATGAGCCACCCTCGTTCTATTTGAAAAAATTGACATATGATTAAAAATACGATTTGGGTATCTTTTAACCGGCCAGGACAAGGCACTAAAAACATTAGACGATCAAATCTATTTTTCCAAGGCTTCTTGGTTAAAAATTAGTGTTTTTAACATAGACACTTTAGATTGAAATTTCAAAAATATTTTTTTCTTAAGCGAGAATGTTAAAAGGACTAAAAACAATTGAATACGTCAATCAATCCTAATTTATATCATATACTAACATACAAAATCGCGTTTTTTTATCTGAAAAAATAAAAAAGTTATAGGGGTGAGCCACTTTTGAGACGCACCCGGTATAGTATTCCATTTAAAAATATACAACTTTGGTTTGAAACTATGTTTGAATCGCCCTGTATGTTGACAAAAATATTTTCCATTGTTCCCATATGATGTAAAAAATTGAAATAAAGGTCACAAACCAAACACCTAATATAGAGTTTTTTCGGAAGCCTGAATCACCCTGTATTCTAAGGTAATAATTATTTTTTTAGGTCCAACCAGAGCGTCAAGACTCAGAAAAACTCACCGTTATCAGTAATCCAGATTTAGGAATCAGTCCTCTGAGTGCCACTATAAATTTTGGCCCAGAAACTATACCTCCATCAAAAATAGAAGACAAAAATGAAAAATCCACGATATACTACGGTAACCCTAAACCTGTAGATGAAGAACAAACAAAAACAACAGAAGAACCCGATAAAATAACCAATTTGAAGGCAATTTTGAAACAAAACGGTGGCCTGAGTCTCAGCGAAGTACTTCAGAAGAAAAACCTTACTTTAGCTGAACTGCTAAAAGGAGACGCAAATGCTATTAAAGCTCTTACTGAACCACCTAAAACAACAATGGAAACTGAAAGTCCAGAAATTTTAACTGAAAAAGTCGAAATGACGACAAAATATAAAAGATTACCACCATCTTCTGTTTTAAAGAAGAACTTGATTAACAGAAAGTACGAACAGAATGACGAGGAATTTTCCGATACTGAACTGGCAGAAGCACAAAGAAAACGCCAAAATTTACTTCAGGCTTTCAACAAAATACCAGCAAATACTAAACATAGTTCTTTTAAAGAACCAAGCAGTACGGAAAAATCAATCTTAACTTCTCCAGACCCTAAAGAAGCAATTTCTTCATCATCTGAAATAGAAATAAATGAAAATAACACAGAAATACCTCAGGGAACCACTACAACGACACAAAAAGTAACTACGAATTCACAAAGAGCAGTTTTAAGAGTGCAATCGAGACTGCCTCTTACTAACGCAAAGTTGAACAAAATTACTTATAAAAGGATGCCTCCAAAATATGTTCCAGTGATCAAAGAAGAAGATACAACTAAAGAAGAGGAAGAGAACTATCCTAAACTACCTATCGTACCTTTGAGGCCTATAAAAATCGACGTTAAGGATTTGTTTGGGCCGAAGAATACAGAAAATCAGTCTGAAGAAAAGGTAATTATAACACGGTTCTTTTTTCAAAAGTGGTTCACCCCAAAAATGATTTACTACATATTGTAACTCTTTAGAAGCTTCTAATATTCAGCAAAAAAGACACCTTGTAGAGAGTCCTTAGGGAGGGTCGAAAAAATCGACCGTTTTTTTTAAATTAAATTAAAAAAACTTTTTGATATATTTTTTTTTCTTATAGATTAATACTTTTTATATTAAGTCACGACTGTATATCAATTTAGTGTGTCACACCGTACCGATACAAATTTATAATAAGAAATCTACCATACGAAAAAAAAATCGGCGTCAAAGACGGCTGGGGTTTACGTCTTCAAGTTATCATCGATTGTCATTCCCCAGCCTCTTTGATGCCGTTTTCTTTTACCATACTGTATTTTTTCTTTATATTTTAGGATGAACCATACCGCATGGAAATAGATCTAGATAACTTGACCGACAAATCAACCACAACTACCACTCCCCGCACAACTACAACATCCACAACCCCTTCCACAACCACCACCACCACAAGCACAACATCTACAACCATAAAACCACAAGTCTTCACAGAAGACACGGAAAAACTCCAACCATTCACAGCCAAAGAAGAAATCCTGCAAATCCTTCGAGACCCCAAGGCCAGACAAGATTTAACCAGAGTCTTAGAAGCCCGAAACATGACAGTTCAAGAATTGATTGAACAGAGAGAGAGAGGTTCAAGCCAGCGACATCTAGCTGACATTTTCCACAACAACACCAGAGAACCTGAACCAATTGACGAACCCCTGGAAGGACAAATAAGCTCTGAAGTTTTTACAAGTTTTCCCATTTTTTCCAGACACCCCAAGAATTTATTTGATGAAAAACCTGAAAGCCAGGAAAATGTTGAGACGATTAAAGCAACAAATACTAGCTCTATTTTTCCTAGCTTCAAAATAGAAGTTCCTGAAGAAAATACAACAAATTCTTGGTCAAATCTTTACCCGAATTTGTTCAACATCGAAACCAAAAACACCATAGAAAACGCAGAAGAAATTCTACCATCTTCCAAAGAGAAATTTGTGAATGAAATGCCTTTAGATATTCTAACCCAAGAAGACTTTATACAGAGGGTTGATGACAATAACGAAAGAATGTTCTCTTCAAATGAACAACTCGATTTCGTTGTTGACGAAGATTCTCACAAAATCTTCAAAAATATCCCGTCAGGAGTTAAATCAGCCATAATAGCTAGCTTGCTGATCGTAGGATTGTCTGTGATGGTTTTTATAACAATACTAGTAATATTTAAATGGACTCAAAAAAAGAAGCAAGGCCCTAACTACAGGGAAAGCTTGAAACCACAGATGTTTAATGTAAAAAAGCGAAATATAAAGAATTTTGTGGTGGAAACTATGGGTAAAGCAAGAATGAATTATTACAGGAGTCAGATGAGAGGTATGAGTGACAGTATTTGGGAGAAAGATAGTGACAGGAAGTTGTCATTTTGAAAGAAATTATCAAAGAAACGGTTTATATACAAATAAAAATGTTAGAAAGTGCCTGTGACACCAAAGTGAATTATGAGGTTTTGAGGGAAGTTGAGATCGCCATAAATCTTGAAAAAATAATTCTAGCAAAGGCTTAGAAAATATTTCATGATAAATTTTTTGGAACTTTGTATTTTATAACAAATCAAATCAAAAATTTTCAATGTAATTTTAAGATGTTTTCAAAGAAGTGCTGTAAGAATTTCATTTAAACACAACAGTACCTGTATTTAACAGTACTATTTTTTAAACAAATATCCAATGTATGTTAATATTATATGTACGGGGTGGGTCAAATTCGACGCTTTTAAATGGAAACACCCTTTTCTATAGGAGATAGACAAAAACTAATATCGGCGTCTGAGCTCAATTTTTGTCAAAAACATGCTGGTGAAAACCGCACATCGATATCTGTTACCGTTTCGAAGTTACGGGGTGTTTTTCAAAAATATGCATTTTTAACAAATCGCTGTAACTTTTTTGCTATGGAAAATTTTGTATTTTTATGAAAACATTTCCAAAGCACCTTTTACGTAGAATTTAATGGTTTAAGTATAATTTTTTTAAAATTAATAATTTAAGAATTATCAACAGAAAATTTGATTTTTTATATGGGACACCCTGTATATTTTTAATTTATTAAAAAGAATTTAAAATTACCTTTCCAAAAATATAGCACACTTGATATTTTGCTCGATTCCTCTTCGAGATATAGAGTATATAAAAATTCGCCCGCTTTAAATAAGTAGGCTTTGAACGACACCGGCTGTAATGCAAAAAAATTCTAGCCGTGAGCATCAATTAAAATGAAAATAATATTTGCTATGAGAGATGCAGAATTTTATAACAATTTAAAATATATTTAACCAACATCAACACATTTAAACTATATCTAATAACAATAAAAATAAATACCAAGACATGAGATTTTGCTACAGGTGTTCGACATATCGACCGTCTACTGTTATGGACAGACGGGGCAATTTTTAAAAATTTCGCGCGGAATTCATTAACTCAGTGGGGGTGAAAGATACCCTCTTATAACTGCTAAGTATTTTTAATTCTTGTCTAGATTATACGGAAGAATAAGGAACCTTTATTCTTCCGCAAATATATCCATAGGATTAGATCCATGGTCACTAAGTCAGGCGGCCTCGACGGCCAACGGCTGGGATCTCGGTTAGCTATCCAATTATTCTTGAAATTGGCTGCAAAAATTTGCTGATAACTTCAGCGTTCAGAGGCGGTGCGTCGTTTTGCTTGAAAATATGTTTTCGAGTTCCATTAAGGGCATATCATCAATATGGGGTCCAAAGCCCACTAGTTAAAAGTGGCGATCTTTTAAAAATTCTGTATTTCGAAGGGGATTATAACAAAATATCAAGTGTGCTATATTTTTGGAAAAGTAATTTTAAATTATTTTCAGTTAATTAAAAATATAGAGGGTGTCCCAAATAAAAAATCATTTTTTTTGTTGATAACTCTTAAATTATCGATTAAAAAAAAAATATACTTAAACCATTAAATTCTACGTAGAAAGGTGCTTTGGAAATGTTTTCATAGAAATACAAAATTTTCCATAGCAAAAAAGTTACAGCGATTTGTTAAAAATGCACATTTTTGAAAAACACCCCGTAACTCCGAAACGGTAACAGATATTGATGTGCGGTTTTCACCATCATGTTTTTGATGACAATTGAGCTCCAGACACCGATATTTGTTTTCGTCTCTCTCCTATAGAAAAGGGTGTTTCCATTTAAAAGCGTCGAATTTGATCCACCCTGTACATACATAGAATGACTGAACAAAAACTCCGAAACACTAGGTTGAGATATAACACTCTTATAAAAAAAATATGAAGTATATTTTTTTATAGAAAAGAATAAAAAAAGAGAAAATTTATAAATTTAACTAGATACATCTCTAATAAAATTAAAAATATTGAAGTGTATTTTATATAAACTTATTAGAGTATAATTTTCATATTTGAAAAATATACACCACGTACCTTTACAATTTTTCTTTAAAATATACAGGGACACTAAAATTAATAAGCGCAAAAAAATCAGAAGAATGCATTATTATAAAATTAAGGAAAATTTTTAAAGTTTACTTTTTCTTCCTACTTCATTATGTAGAAAAAATATTTTTCATTATACAGGGTGAGTCTTAAATAAGTGCAAATATTTTCAGGACTGGTATATTAATATGCATTTTCCGCCCTATACCAAACCAAACCAAACTTTTTTTACTATTTTTAACTATATAGGCAAAATCAAACCAAATCAAAAAATTTTATACGAAAAAATATTCTAATCTTTCAAAAAGCAATCACTTTCATTTTTTTCACGCCCTGTATAAGAATAATGTATCCTGGCGCATTCGCCAATATATTGAAAAAAAATCAATATAATTCGAGGTTTTCCCTCTAATAACTAAATATCAAGTGCAATAAACATTCTTTTCTTGTTAAAAGAGATATAATAAGACTTCTAGGGTTGAATAAAATCAAATTCCTTTATTCAACAGTAAATAAGTTATTATTAGATATTAGGTTAAGTATATGTTTTGTATTTTTTTGAAATATAATGTAATATTTATTTAATAAAAATTTTAAAAACACTGAAATTTTATTAATAAAAACATCAAATTAATAATGTACTTACCAATATTCATGAAAAGAGAATTTGCTTCTCATCAGCTCACATACAGGGTCATCTGAATTCCAGAACAATTTATGAAAATACGCGTATTGTCTGACAATACTCTTGATTTGTCTCAGTGCTACTTCCAGGGTTGGGCTTCCTTTAAGCTCTTCCAAATCGTTTTGTGTAAAATATAGTACGGTACTGTAGGTTTTTGGTAAAATGTCAAAGTACGGTTTCCAAAATGAGTTAGGTGAGAATTTTTCAACCAGCAGGTATATAGAAAGTAAAACATTTGGCATATTTTTCAGTATTTCTACCTAAAATTACACAAAATATTTATATAAATATTATATCGGCATGATATACATACCTTATTTATTAAATCTTTGATCACACTTTTAGCTGCAACCTCCACCGACATCATAACTTTTCTAGGTACGGCAATAACTAGAGAGCTTTGATCAATATCCTGATCAACTTTAATTCCTAAATCGTATTCATCAAACGAACTAATAGAGCAGCCATGGAGCTCACCACCGTTTTCTTTCATCCATTTGGTAAAATTTTGTATCACATCTTGACTTAGACGAGTTTGTACAGTGCTTTCAGTTGTGTTATTATTTGTAGAGACCTAGAATAATTATTAAATTACATACTTAATGCCTAGGCAGAGTTACAACAAGTCAGTTTCAAAAAGACTTTAAAAGTTCAAATGATTTGAATCTCAAGTCTTTGACTTAAGTCATGTTCTTTCAAGTCAAGTCATTTTTGTAAAGACTTAAATCATGTCTGTAGAACATTTACAGATCTATTTTGTGTTACTTAACACCTTAAATAAAACATAGTACTTAAAATATCGCCATACCTTGTTTTGTTTTCTCAGTAACTTATCCTCGACTATTCTAATTCTATCCAAGTAACTTATGATCTGCCTTTGACATTCTAGGGCATGCGGTAGATTATTGTGTATTGGTAACGTGGTTAATCTTAAGAGATTATCAACGGCATCTAGTAGTTCCCTCTCTTCTTTTGGTGTTTTGTTCTTTTTATTCGAATTCTTAGTTTTAATCGAAGTCGTAGCTTGATTCGTTTTTCTTCCCATTGTTTATTAAATAATACGAAAGATACGATAATACTGCACTAGTTTTTGGCACACAATCCTAATACTTTTGGTTTATATATTTATTTATAGATGGTAATCTATCTGTTTATGGTAGTTTATGATCAAGTTTCATGTTATAAATACCACACTTAAAAGAATCTCGAGCTGGACACGATACAGAGGAGTAGTTTGGTTCTCAATTTATCTTTATTTACTTAAATGTAGGCTTTTAAAAACGAAAGAGAAAATGAATATCTAGAGAGCATTTAAATTTTTTTACTTGTCGCAAAAATCTTAGGTTATAGATCAAATTTGTTGGTTATGTCGAAAAATTCTTCTTAAATAAAATACGAGGCTCATCCAAAAACGAGATCTCTGGAAGTGAAAACTGGAAAATATAGATTTTTAATTCAAAAAATAAACATGCTCTATCAATGCCCTCTATAAAAGATCAGCCTCCGGGCGGACTTTTGTTTACTTCATCAGCTGTACATACTTAGATATTGGGTTAGATTCTGTATTCATATTTTATCGGTTGATTTTTGGTATTATTTGTTATTGTAGTGCAAAAAACTCATTATTTTGGTGTTTAAGTGACATAAAGTACTACCAGATATATGGTCACTATGATGGTCACTCTGTTTCTCATAAAAAAAACACGAAACATTACACGTTTTGTTAAGTGCTTTAACCTAAAAGTGCCCATAAATTTTTTATTTATCGTGATTTTTGTGTGTGTTTTTTAAGACTCTAACAATTCATCAATAAAGCTTAAATGGAGTGTGTTTTTGGTGATGTGCTTCATCTTTGTTGTGTTCCTGGTGGAAAGGATAGTTATACTAGGCAGCTTAAAGTATCCGGAAGAGCAAGAAAAGTGGGTACGAGTTATAAATCAAGACAATTCTATTGAAAATATCTTTAATAAATTTAAAAATAATATTCTCCCAGGATGGTATTAAAGAAAACTTGACAATTATGTTTATTTTATTCATATTGTGGAATCTCCACTCCAAGTGTTTTTGGTTCAGCTTCGATAGATTCAAACACGTAAGATAAACACGTAAGTAGGTATTATGACCTAGGGAAAAATAAAGAATATGTGTATTAAAGATCATGAAAAAGATTATTATTTTGAGTTCAAAATTAAAAAAGATTTTTCTAAAGACAAGAATGATAAAGTTTAAAAGAAGAATGTGTTTTTGTTTGATAATATAATGTATGTAAAGCATAACATATATTTGTTCAGTAATTTTTACTGAATAGTATTGATTATTTATAATATCAAATTAATATCAAATATTTAAGTGATGGCTGAATACAATATGAATAAAATAACAATAAAATTGGTATATTTGCAATACAAAATTAAGTTTTAAGAATAAAGGTGTTACTAAAAATACTAAGAAATTCATATCTTTGTTTTAATTGGTCGAATGTTATTTACATTTTATGTAAGAATTATACCGTATCATCGAAAAAAATCGGCGTCTAGTTGATTTGGAAATGAACATCGATGACATTCCCTAAATAATTGTACACATAAAATAATTAACTAGAATTTTACAATCTTGGAAAATTTTATATTCTTGAATCTTGTTTCTAAATATTCTAAATTTTTTGATTTTCTTGGGATTTAGGTTCGGAAAAAAACGCTGATTAAGTTTTCATTTGGTTTTTCATTATTTTTATTTGGTTTAAAAAAAACGTTATGGTTAACATTATAGCCTTCATCAGTGTTGTGTCGTATGAAAAAAATAGTGTCAAATATAATCCAAAAAATTACATATAAAATATTCACACCACGCACCACATAATGTTTACTGCGTACTCCATAGTCAATGTAGATAGTTTTAGTGTTAAGAATAATAATTCTAAAAAATATGTGGTCATCTTTTGATAAGTTTATATTAGTTTATTAATTGCAGTAAACATTATGTGGTGTGAATATTTTATATGTAATTTTTTGGATTATATTCGACACTATTTTTTTCATATGACACAACACTGATGAAGGCTATAGTTAGCCAAAGCGTTTTTTTTAAACAAATAAAAATAATGAAAACCCAAATGAAAACTTAAATCAGCGTTTTTCCCGAACCTAAAAATCCCAAGAAAATCAAAAATTTTAGAATAATTTTACATATAAAATGCAAGCGATCTTCATTTCATAGCCATCGTTGACGCCTTTTTTTAGATGATATTGTATTATTTGTAAATATAATTTTTCGAACATTGATACTTGCAAAATATACATATAAATTTTGTGAATGCAAATAATAATACATCACTATTAGTAGATATTGAATGTTTTTTCTTAAATTAGATCGATTTTCAAACCCCAAAATTTAAAATATATTTACATTTTACCCAATATATTATGTAATACATTATTTGTATATTGTAAAACATTTGCTGCATTTGTATGGTTCATAGTTTATTTGCCAAAGTATTTATTACTATAAATAGTATATATACACGTTATTAACTGTATATTATGTATTTTTCATGTAAACGATATCATTTTTAAAATACAAACCAAAAATCTGAGGAATAATTGTGTTTTCCATGTATTCTACAACATATTTATTAATCCGTAGTATCTAACTAGCGTGACGTCATAAATCTCGCCCTGAGGCTGTTCTATTAGAGACGGCATTGGCTCTATTAAGTGCCGTTAATTGCACATTTTTTTGCACACTTATTAGAATATTTGCGTTTTTATATGGAAATAAAAGTATTTTTAAAAGTTTTTTTATTTTTATTACTTTGAAAGAGAGCTTTGAAACCAGGAAATGAACGTACCTATTAAACCTTTATTAAACAGATTTTCATCTCATAAAGTCTTTGCATAAAGTAGATATTAAAATACTAGGGGTATACAAAATTATTATATACGTTTATTTTTTATGCCTTTTCCAGTAAAAATACACACACCGGAAAGTCTAGGGATATTACAATTTTATCCAGCCATCCTCAGTAATTTTATTATTTGCATTTCTGGTATAATAAAATTAAAATAAACAAATAGTTTACAGGACGTATTGGAAATAAAAATGCGAAATTTACCGAATTTTTCAAATTTACCTTGATTTTTATTGAACTCAAAATACACATTTTTTTTATTCTAAACTGTGAATAAAAAAAAAAGATAAAACCATTTTTACTTAATAAAGGGTATGGCCTCCTCTACTGTTCATTACAGCCCTACATCGTCTCTCCATGCTCCTGATCAGGTTGTCAATCTCTTCTTGAGGTATAGCCTGCCACGCTGCATTTACGGCCCGAACCAGATCCCTACGAGTTTCACGAGGCATACCCATTCTCAAAATTCTTCTTTGGACCGAGTCCCATACGTGCTCGATGGGGTTGAGGTCAGGAGATTGTGCCGGCCAGGGTAAGATGTTTAATTGATGAGCATTGATAAACTCAATTACCACTCTGGCTGTATGAGGCCGTGCATTGTCATGCATGAGAATGATGTTTTTCCCAAAATCATTGGCATATGGTAACACGACAGGCTCAAGAATTAAATCACGATATGTGATTCGTGTTAGAAACTTTTCAAGAAAAACGAGATCGGTTTTTCGGCCTAACTGGACTCCTCCCCAGACCATAACTTTTCCACCTTGATAAGGGTGCACTTCCTGAACATGATCCAACTGAATAAGATTTTCCAGTTCTCTCCATACCCTAAGCCTTCTCGAATCCGGATGAATTCCAAAGCGTCACTCATCCGTGAAGAGAACATTGGCCCATTGTTCATTCGACCACTGAACATGATCTTGAGCCCACAAATATCGTACCTCTCGATTTCCTCTCGTTAAAGGTTGAGCTCTCCAGAGGCGTCTGCTTCTTAAGTTGAGCTCTCTTAATCTATTGCGAACAGTGTCAGGACTAATGGTTACATTATGTGTTTCCTCGAGAATTAAACTAAGCTCTGGTGCTGTAAGAGTCGGTCGGCGTCGAGCATTTAATTGTAAAAAATTATCTTGCTGAGGGGTAGTAATGCGATGTCGCCCTGTGTGCCTTTCAGCAACATCACCACTTTTACGGTAGCGTGCACTTAATCGCGATATTACACTTTGCGTTGTATTTAATGCTCTAGCTACGTCGATTTGGCGCATTCCAGCTTCAAGCATAACCATGGCCCTTAGCATTTCGTCTCTGTTAAGATGTCTACGCTCCATAATGTCGTTTAATACTAAACAGAGTTATTTGAATTAATTCTGGCCAGTTATCATAAAAACATAGCCAGTACAGATTAAATTCGAACAATTGATGCTAGGTGCTTTTTATACATTTGACAAAAAATGCACAAACACTTCTGCAAATATCCCAAATTTAGAAATAACTAGTGTGACTACTTCGTTTCAATCGAAGTAGAAAGAACCGGCCTACAAATATGTGGTTGTTTATTCAAAACGTTTATTTTTAACTTTAATAAAATATATCCTTAGATTTTTCCGGTGTGTGTAGATGTAAAAATGATTTAAAAAATTCCACTTCTAGCTAGATCGTGTGTCACGGCCATGAATTTTTACTCCCAGCGCGCGTAATGAAGTTTTACTCCAAAACTGCAACTTTTCTTTAGCAATCCAAATAAATCTTAGTTATAGTTTTATCTAAGACTAGCGTGTACCCGCGACTTCGTTCGCATCGAATTAATCATTTGTAATGGTGATGATAAAGCAAAGCACTTTTTGGAACACCCTGTATAAATTTTTAAAAAATCTTAAAATATGTAAAACAACAAAATAAAATATACGTGTTTAAGCGTTTTTTCGGAAACTTAACCGTTTTTTAAATAAAAAATATTGTAATATTTGAGGGGTGGTTTCACCATTGTTAATGTAAGGTTTCACCCCCTTGGAACTGGAATTTCGAAAAATCCCTTCGTATCGAACCTCTACATCCTAGAATCAACCTGCATGCTAAAATTAAGCTTCTTACGTTGAGTGAAATAAAACACTAAATCACCACAATACACCAAAACACTTTTACTTTTACACTGGACGCACGTTTCGCTAACCATTTTTTTTTTTGGTGAGGGGGTGGTTTAAAAATCTTTTATAGACGAATAGTGATCATTTCCGTGGCCATCTCGAGAGAGACAGTCATAGAAATAACCCCTAGACAGTGTGGGATTCGAAATACCCACTAAAAACGATCCACCTCCGAGGAATCAGCGGCCGAAGGATGGCAGCTCTCATTCCTGCTTGTGTGTTGGGGAAGGGCGTAGCCCTGGGTGCCTGAAGGCTAGTATTGGGATGCGAGATTTAGGAGCGACTGGACACTAGGTCCAGAAGAGTTCTGTGATTGTCCGGAAGACAGTTTTGGGAGGGGGATTTGGTATTGAAGAATGGAGATTAGATCATAGGAGGTAACATACTTGTAAGTATGTTTGAAACCATGGTTTTGACATGACTGGCTACTTGTTCAAGTAGTTGTTTATGGAGTTCTTGGTTTATTGAAGAGATGGGTAGGAATGACTCAGGGGTATTTCCTTGGGGGAGTTGTTGAGATTGCTTTTGAGCACTGAAGCATAAAGTGTAGGATTTGGAGGGGTAGGAGTCGGAACCCTTGAGGGTTCCGGCTGACTAAGGATATTAGTATTGGGATTACGATTTCTCGGATTTTTTGGGCATGAAATGTGGCTAGCTGGATGCGGACCTCCGCAATTTGAACAAATTGCAGGTGCATCAGCCTCTTTATCACAGGATTTGGTGTGTGGATTTGGCGCACCACGCAACGCGGGGCCGCAAAGCAGTTCGAGGCGGCGTGGCCGAATTGCTGGCAATTGTGGCACTGACGTACCCCATTACCGCGCCTCGGCGTCACCACCCGAACCCTCAGCGAGCCCACATGCGTGATGTCGAAGATGTGGGTTTGGTGTTTGGGTACTCTGACTTTGACGACGGCCATAGGAATACCGTCTCGTGAGAGGCGATGCGTTTCTCTGACCTCGAAGCCTTGGGAAGTAAGGTCCTCAATTATTGCCGAGTTGTCGACAAAAACTTCAACACCTTTGATTAGAACATTAAGATCCCTGTCATCAGGGGAAAAATAAGTGTGAAAGGGTATTTTCCTGCTTTTGAAATAGTGGATGATGGCCCTATGGTCATCAGAAGAAGAGGGAGAGATTCTAATGCCGAGAGGCACAGTTTTCGCTTCAGAAAAGCAGATTTTCTGCTCTTTGAAGGATCTTGTGATGCTCATCCAGAGACGAGTATCATGAAGTACGACTTGGGGAGGCTTTTTGGGCCCTTTGCTTTTAGATTGAGGCTCCTGCTGCATTTGAGGAACAGCAGGGGGAATTTTAGGTTGAGGCTCCTGCTGTGTTTGAAGAAACTTACTCTGAAGAGTCGAGTAAGTTAAGTTAATGATAATAGGAAGCACTTACCGAGCGCGAGAGCACTACCGAGCGCGAATACTAACGGAGCTGCGATGCACACTGTACGACGCACGACTGACGAACTGTTTCACTAACCATGTTAGCCTCATCAGCAGATGATTAAGACTAACTTAAAAGTACAATTTGAGCGTTTATATACTCGCTCAGTGGGTACCGAATGGGCGTGGCCAGATCTAGCCAACCGAGTCAGAGTCCAACGAGCGTAACAGTTAGATTTCCGCTACTCGAGTAGTAGGAAATGAGTAGGAATAAAGAACTTGAAGGAATTGGACCGTTGTCTCTGTTCATACTATCTTTACATTTACTAATTCTGATGCTTTCATATGCATCTAATTGCCTGTAATTTGAGACTTGTTTAATTAATTTTAAATTATTAAGATCTATAAAATGTTCTTTATCAACAATATGTTCAGCAAAGCAAGATGTATCCGGTCTACCATATCTTATCTTATGTAAGCTAAATGTTCTTTAAATCTAGTTAATATTGATCTTCTAGTTTGCCCAACATATTTCTGATTACAATCTTTACAAGAAATTTCATAAATACCCGACCTTTCCAGTGGAGGTGTTTTATCCTTTGGATTACCTAATAATTGTTGTAATTTATTATTAGCACTATACACAAGTTTATAATTGACATTCTTGAAAATCCCCTTTAGACCACGGGGTAACTCTTTATCAAACGGTATTGAAAAATATTGTGACGTATCTTTCTCCACTTGAAAAGTCGAATTTTCAGAAATCATTAATATACCTACGTTTTCTAATTATTTTATCCACTAGTGAAGGTGAATATCCATTACACTCAGCTACATTCCTAATTTAATCTCTTTCTATTTCATATCTTTCGTTGGTAAGTGGAAAACTAAGTAATCTATGAACTAAGAAATTTAAACTAACCATCTGCTGATTAAAAGCTTACATGGTTAGCGAAACGCGCGTCCAGTGTAAAAGTAAAAGTGTTTTGGTGTATTGTGGTGATTTAGTGTTTTATTTTGCTGTGTAACACCAAAGGTTCCAACCCCCAACTGTAATTTACGTTTAGTGGTTTGAGCAGGATCGTGAGTGCATTAATGAGTGAGTCACTTAAGGATTTTATATATTAGTATAGATAAGTTGTACGCATCTTTCGATAGCATAGAGTTCTGCCTGAGGGATACTGGGAAGGTGCCTGTGCCTACTGCTTCGGAGTATTTATTTTTCGTCCCAAATACTCGGACAGTGGCAGTGGCATAGGAAATGAAGGACCTTTCTCCTTTTTTCGGGTCTTTGTAGTTTCGGCAAACTTCGTTAAAAGGGATGCCCATTCTGGCTGTTTGTTCACCGTTTTTGGTTTAAAACGGCGCGTTCCTGTCGAAAATTTGATCTCATCTCGCGCCGTAATTCGCCAGTCGTTGGCAAAACGGCGCCAAATTCACAACTGAGATACTTCGTCGACCGTGAATCTCGATCCGGAAAATATCGCCACCGGATTTTCCGGTTAAATCTTCCGAGTCGTCTTCCTGATATATAAAATTTTCCGGGTTTAAAAAAAATATCAATTGAAAAAATGGTTTAGAATATTTGTTTTTTGTCGTTTAGAATGATGAATCGGTTTAAAAACTGTAGTTGGTTGATTATTTTGATGATATTTACGTTGACTGGTAAGTAAGTTGTAAAGGCATTAATTGTTAGTTTTAGAAATTTTACTATACCGTGTGTTGCATCGTTGACCTGAATTATTAACTATATAAATTTCAAAAAGAATTGATGAATAAATTTAGGTAAAAAACTTTTTAAAGAAATCCTTAAAATGAAGCAAACTGTTCATTTTGAATAATTTATACAAATTTATTTTTGAGTTATGAGAGATACAAAAATATACTAAATTAAACATAACGATCAAAGAAACTTCTACAAATCTGTCAAAAATACCCTAAGTTTAAGTACCAATATTTTTTATAATATGAAAAATTACAAAAAGTACAATGTAAACCCAGTAGCGGATACAGAGGGGGGCCCATGGGGCGAAGGCCCCCCCTATAGTCTATAAATTTGGTTAATTATTAGGCTTTTGGGTTAAAAATGGCGCTTTAATAAGCATATTCTACATTACTTTTTATTTGGGCTTAACTTGAACCTAATAAATAATAAATATATATTTTTCAATCTTTCTTAAAAAAATTATTAAAAATACAAGAACTGTCCTGAAATCAAAACTACATTAGGTATTTACTTTAGATGGTCTGTATTACTTTGCTATAAATATTGTAATCGTAAATCATACAGGATGTTCAAAATTCTACGTCAAACTTTCTAAAATATAAAATAATGTTTCTTCGTTTTTTTTTAAATAGAACACCCTATATATTATTTTTTCAATAGATGGAGAATTAAAAATTGATCATTTTTCTGTTTAGAGTATTTCAAAATTTTTAACGGTTTTGTGGATATACGCGGTTTTATATTTCATATGGCATTTTCCACAGTAAATTTTTATCAAAAAGCCACCCAATTATTTTTCTCTCGTATTTTACCGTTGAAAGAGCCATATGAAATAATACTGCGTGTATCTGCGAAACTATTAAACATTTTGAAATACATTATATACAGGGTGTCCCACTAAGAATAGCTCTCGGCTGTATCTCGGTAAGTATTAGCCGTAGGGCCTGCGGAAAAAAATATTTATAATTAAAGAGGCTATGAGAAATTGCTGGAAATTATTTTCAAGTTTGTAGAACAACCGCTAGGGGGCGCAACTCCAACAAAAAATAAGAAAATGGAGTTTTTGCACAATTTTGCCTAGATAAGGTGTACTATAAGTAACAGCTTCATAATCTTCAGTAAATTTTGAATATTTTTTGTTAGAACCATTTTATTACAGTTGAGGGTTGGAACCTTTGGTGTTACACAGAACCAGAACCATTTTCCCCTATCTACCAAAATAAAGTGGTGGGGGGTGGTTAGATCTGTTTTTAATTAAATATTAATAACTCCGGACTGGATGATCGGAATCCAACAAGTGAGTACTCGTTTAAAAGAGCGTTTTTTACTCTATATTATACCATATAAACAATAATAATAAGCTTTTGAACGTAGACGCTAGGGGGCGTTGTCTTACAATTTAACAAACTTTGCTCATTTTTCAAAAATATTGAATGCGATAGTATATGTAATTTTAGCTGATAGTAAAGAATAATAAAAACTTAATAAGTTAGCGAAAACCGCATCTTGATATCTTTTTTCAAACCAAAGTTATTAGCCAAATTATAATAAATACGAAAATATAAGCCCTTAATTACCTTATTTTTCTAACACGGTATTACTAGCCCTCCTGATTATGAACATTCTGAAAAAAATAAGATAGTAATGATTAGATTATTCTAAAATCGACAATATACCAGAATACCATAACACCAGATCTATTAATATCTAATAATTAAGATATCAATGACAGCTAATAAAAAACGACGCCTCAGTGAAGTCATGGTAGGCTTTGGAAAAAAGTTGCTTTTGACGTAATAGTATAAACGTCAAAGTGTTATTAGATCAACATTTTGATAGTCATAGCAGCGCTTTTTCTCTGTTGAAGAAAGGCATTTTTAGAAAAGCAATCAAAAGATAAAAAAAAGGCTATTGAAAAAACAAAATCTTGATATAATAATATTTTGATGTTTAAACTATCCGTTTAAAAGCAACTTTTTTCCAAAGCCTACCATGAATTCACTGAGGTGTCGTTTCTTGTCCACTGTCATTGGTATCTTAATTATTAGATATTAATACACCTAGTATTATGGTTTTCTGGCTCATTGTCGATATTTTGAATAAAATAAATCTTTTTTATATTATTTTTTAATAGAATGGTCATAATCAAGAGTGCTAGTGATACCGCGTTAGAAAAATAAGGTAATTAAGGGCTTATATTTTCGTATTTATTATAATTTTGCTAATAACTTTGGTTTGAAAAAAGATATCAAGATGCGGTTTTCGCTAACTTATTAAGATTTTATTACTCTTTACTATCAGCTAAAATTATATATACTATCGCATTTAATTTTTTTGAAAAAACGCGCAATGTTTGTTAAATTGTAAGACAACGCCCCCTAGCGTCTACGTTCAAAAGCTTATTATTATTGTTTATATGGTACAATATTGAGTAAGAAACGCTCTTTTAAACGAGCCCTCGCTTGTTGGATTCCGATCATCCAGTCCAGAGTTATTAATATTTAAATAAAAACAGATCTAACCTCCCCCCACCACTTTATTTTAGCAGATAGGGGAAAATAGTTCTAACAAAAAAGATCCAAAATTTACTGAAGATTATGAAGCTATTATTTATAGTACCTCATATCTAGGCAAAATTTCCTAAAAATTGCATTTTGTTATTTTCTATAGCAGTTACGCCCTCTAGCGGCCGTCCTACAAACTTGAAAATAATTTCCAGCAATTTCTCTTGGTCTTATTAGTTATAAATATTTTTTTCCGCTAGCTCTACGACTGATACTTTCCGAGATACAGCCGAAAGCTATTCTTAGTGGGACACCCGGTACAAAAAAATGTTCATTTACGCTTCAAAAAAAAACAAGGAAAAATTATTTTATATTTTAGAAAGTTTGGTGTGGAATTTGGAACACCCTGTATGATTTAAGATTAGGATATTTATAGCAAAGTAAGTAAAGACCATCTAAAGTAAATACCTAATATTAAAAAAAAACATCACGATCCACTAACACTTTTTTGTTCCACCCTATAGGAGTTAAAATATTTTCCTGTAATACATCCTCGTATATACTTTAGGTTTGCACTTAAACAAAATTCTCAAGGTTTTTATTCTAGGAGCTACAGATGCTCGACGCACTTTTGCCGAACCCTGTATACATAGTGACGTTGGTAGCGAATATTTCCATTCGAATTTTGCAGGAAATTTCAGAAATTTTCGGAAATATTCGGTCCCAAAATCGCGAATATTCGCAAAAATCCGAATTTTGCAAGAAATTTCTTTTAAAAATTCAAGACATTGAGCAAAAATTTAACGAAAGTGTATCAAGTATGCCGTTTCTTAAGTCAGAAGAAAAAGAATGCTTCTCCGCCTTACAAAATAAAAAACCTATGGCTCTTGAACCAATGCATTTTGCCGGGAATCTCTTGGAGCCCTGTTTCCTGGGAGAGCACCTTAACAATGAAGAACACATAGCCGCTATGGAATTTATCAACAATCATCCTCAGTTTGTCAATAATAAGCCATTTTTACAGATGTGACAAATTATTGCGCCAAATCGGGTTTATGGGCTCTCGACTACGTTTGGATGTCAGTTAAAAATGTAGACTGTCTAAGTTGGTGGCTAGCAATGTGTAAAAATACTCAGTTGAAATATTTAGCTCTTGCTCTGCTGTCTTTACCAACGTCATCTACAGCCACAGAGAGAAGTTTCAGTACTTACAGTTTTATCCACACTAAAAATAGCCCTCCTGATTATGAACATTCTGAAAAAAAATAAGAAAGTAATGATTAGATTATTCTAAAATCGACAATATACTACAAAACCATAACACCAGATCTATTAATATAATATTAAACACATGAAATTCCTCCACCACCACTAGAACTCGTGGAGGTAGAGGTCCATCCTTCAGAATCAGAACCAGATGATACATCAAATATATCTGATTTGGAAATAGAAACTGACGAAGACAGTACTACTACTACTATAATACCCTATGAAGATGGGACCAGCTCGGCGCCTGATATTCCGGAATAGAATAATTCAGTTATTTATGTTTTACGTTTTTTAAATTTATATTTCGTGCTTTTTTGTTTTTTTTTAAATTCATAGTCATAGTTCGTGGTTTATGCACAAAATACAAATGTTACCAAATAATTTTTGTTATGGGTTATGTATTGTTTATTAAAAATATAACAACTAATATTATGTTTATTGTATTTTTTTTCACTTACATGTTGGTATCAAATGTCTATCTAATTTATACCTTTATTGTATCGACAAAAAATATGTAAAATTGTAAAATTTACTAATATTTCATAAATTTCCGAAAGTTTCCGAAAGTTTCAGAAATTTCCTGCAACAATCAAAAATTTCTGAAATATTAACATCACTATGTATACATATATTATTATTTGTCTGAGAAATTTTTTATTTAAAATTCAGTTCAGTATTTTATTATTTTTGTTTTATTTCATTAAAGTCTTCTCGTATGTTTTCTTCATTCAAAATTTTTAATTTCTTTCCGAAGTAGGGCAATTTAAGTTTTCAAAACGAATTTTTATTCCTTTTTATAATATATTCCGAACTCTTCTCCTCTATTTATTAAGTTTTTCTTTATCTCAAACGGACTCGCAGGAAATAGGTTGCTCAAAACTTAAATTAAAATCTAAAAATGCTTCTGATAAACATCAGATATTCAACCAAGTATAGATTACATTTTTATGTAGAACATAAAAATATAATCAACAAAGTCTTCTTTTGAATTAAAATGTGACATATATAGTTTTTATACAGTTAAACTTAAAAGAGTTTTTGTCATTTTGATATTTAACATCGTGTAAGATAGTAAGACACTGATTAAATTGCTATGTAGTATCTTAAAATTGTTACATTATCTACTTCGATTACTTTAAAACTACTTGTTACTTAGAAAACGGGGA